TTCTTTTTCTAGCTTCTTATGGTGGATGTTTAGATCACCAATTTTAGACCTTTCTTCTTTGCTAATGTTAGTGTTGCAGGACTTTTCCTTAGTTCAGCTAAAGATGGGGTCCTTGTCCGTCCTGCAACCATGAAAATTTAGGTTGGCGGAGGGTTTGAAGGGTAAAGCAGGGCTTTATTGGGTGAAAAGGAAGAAAAGGGAGAAGCAGGCACTCTCTCTAGACCAGAGTCCCTGCTACAGCGCTTCCCACCGACAGCTTGAATCCCAGGTTCCACACAGGAAGAGGAGGGGTCGGGCTCCTCCCTGCTGCAAGGGTGGTGAACTTCCCCAGGCTCCAGCTCCACCTCAGTGGGCAGGCTAGTTGGAGCTTCTCCAGCGACCCCCTCCCACCTGGCTGTCTCATTAGTATTTTTAAACTTTACCTTTCCCTGTTAGCCTGGTGCTAGCTGCATCCTAAAAATTTTGGTATATTGTATTTTCATATTTTATTCAAATTATTTTCTGATTTTTTTTTTGGCACATGAATTATTTAAAAGTGTGTTGCTTAATTTCCAAATATCTGGAGTTTAAAAAGGACACATTATTTATTTCTAACTTATTTCCAGTGTGTTCAGAGAACCATATTCAGTATGTTTTCAATCTTCCTAAATTTGTTGAGACTTATTTCATGGTCCAGCCAGATGGTCTATTTTAGTGAATGTACTATGTGCACTTGAAAAGAATGTGTATTCTGCAGTTGTTGGCTATAGTGTTCTATAAATGTCAGTTAAAAGTAATTGATGGTGTTTATACGATCTATCTTTACTGACATTTGCTCTATGTATTCTATTGATTGGTGAGAGGAATATTTAAAATCACCAGCTCTATGTAATCATCTATTTCTACCTTTATGTCACTTGTTTCATGTACTTTTAAGCTGATATTAAACATATGTATTGATAATTATTTTATCTTCCTGGTGTAGTGACCCTTTTATTAATATGAAATGTCCCTCTTTATCTCTGGTAATACCCTTTGCCTTGAAGTTTACTTTATCTGATATTAATCCAGTCACCACATTCTTCTGCTTGACATTTGCATGGTATCTTTTCCCATCCATTTACTTTTATCTGCATAGTTTACGTATTTTAAGTGGACTTGCTGTGAACAGCATGCAGTTGGGTCTTTTTGGGGGGATTTGTGTCAGTTCTGATAATCTCCATGATTGACCAGACCAATGCTGGTCAATAGAATTTATGTGATAATGGAAATATTTTATATATGTGCTGTTCAATATACTAGTGAAATACGGGAGTCACTACTGAGCACTTAAAATGTGGCTAGTGCAATGAAGAGACTGATTTAAATTTTATTTAATGTCAATTAACAAGTATCTCACGTGGCCTGTGGCTGCCATCCTAGTGCAGATAGAGACCATTTACATTTAATGTAGTTGTTTATACGACTGGACTTAAGTCTGCCATTTTACTATTTGTCTAGTTTGTCCCCACTATTTTTGGCTTCTCTGTTCTACCTTTCCTGACATCTTTTGGATTAACTGGGTCTTTTTTAGTTAATAGAGTATTTTTCAGAGCAGTTTTAAGTTCACAGCAAAATTGAGAGGAAGGTACACATTTCCCAAATACTCCTGCTCCCACACACACACATAGCCTCCCCCACTATCAATATCTCCCAACAGAGTGGTCCATTTGTTATAACTGATGAATCTACATTAACACATTATCGAAGTCCATAGTGTGTATTAGGGTGCACTTTTGGTACTGTACATTGTATGGGTTTGGACAAATGTATAATGACATGTGTCCACCATTATAGTATCATACACAGTAGCTTCACTGCCCTAAAAATCCTCTAGCCTCTGCCTATTCATCCTACCACCTCCACTCCTGCAACCTCTGGTCTTTCAACTGTCTCCAAAGTTGTGTCTTTTCCAGAATGTCACATAGGTATAATCATACAGTATGTAGTCTTTTCATATTGGTTCCTATCACCTGGCAACGTGGATCTACGATTCCTCTGTGTCTTTTCATGGCTTGACAGCTCATTTTCTGAAGAGTGCTGGATAATATTCAATTTTCTGGATGTACCACAGCTTATTTATCCATTCACCTATTAAAGAACATCTTGGTTGCTGCCAAGTTTTGGCAGTTATGGATAAAACTGCTATAAACATCTGTGTGCAGGTTTTTGTGTGGACATAAGTTTTCAACTCCTTTGGGTAAATATTAAGAAGTGCAATTGCTGGATCATATGGCAACTATATTTAGTTTTATAAGAAGCTGCCAAATTGTCTTCCAAAGTGGCTGTACCATTTTGCATTCCCATGAGCAATAAATGACAGTTGCTGTTGCTCGATATCCTTGTCAGCATTTGGTGATGTCAGTGTTCTGGATTTTGGCCATTCTAATAAATGTGTAGTGGTATCTCATTGTCTTAATTTATACTTCTCTGATGACATATGATGTGTGGAGCATCTTTTCCTATGTGTATTTGCCACTTGTATATTTTGGTGAGGTGTCTCTAGCCTATTTCTTTTTAAGGGACAGTTGCCCAGGCTGGAATTCAGGGGCACGATCATAGCTCACTATAGCCTTGAACTCCTAGGCTCAAGTGATCCTTCTGCCTCAGCCTCTCAGGTAGCTGGGACTACAGGCATGGACCACCGTGCCAAGTTTTTTTTTTTCCTTGCTGCCCAGACTGGTCTCAAACTCCTGGTTTGGCCCATCTTTTAATCTCATTGTTTTCTCATTGTTGAATTGTAAAAATTCTTTGTATATTTTGGTTAACAAGGCTTTATCAGATAACTGTTGTGCAAATATTTTCTCCCAGTCTGTGGCTGGTCATTTTATTCTCTTAATAGTGTCTTTCTCAGAGCAGACATTTTTATCTATTGGCTTTCTAGCTCTACCTTTACATTAAGTGGTTGCTCTAGGGATGAATGTTTCGCAGCTAAGAGCTAACTAACATTGTATCACTTTGGATAAAATACAGATAGCTTACTGTAAAGGGTCCTTTCCTTTTCCCTTCTCTGCATCTATTATGCCATGATTGTCATTCAAATTATCTACATATGCTAAAATCCCACCAATTTTTATTTACTTACTTTTTTTTGATATGGAGTCTCACTCTGTCGCCAGGCTGGAGTGCAGTAGCGCAATCTCGGCTCACTGCAACCTCCACCTCCTGGGCTCAAGCTATTCTCCTGCCTCAGTCTCCCGAGTAGCTGGGACTACAGGCACATGCCACCATGCCCAGCTAATTTTATTTTTAGTAGAGACGGGGTTTCACCATGTTGCCCAGGATGGTCTCGATCTCTTGTTCTCGTGATACACCTGCCTTGGCCTCCCCAAGCGCTAGGATTACAGGTGTGAGCCACCATGCCTGCCTGTTGTTTAAACAGTAATACAAAGTTTAAAGAGAAAGAAAGAAGACATCCTTTGTATTTACTCGGATGTTTACTATTTTCAGTGGCCTTTATTCCTTCTTAAAGATTTGAGTTTCCCTCTGGTAAAATCTCCTGTTAGCCTGAAGAACTTCCTCTAGCATTTCTTGTAATTTAGATCTGCAAATTCTCTTAGTTTCCTTTTATCTGAAAATATTAGTTTTTTTTTTAAATTCATTCTTGAAATATATTTTTGCTAGATACAGATCTCTGGGGTGACTTTTTGTTTTTTTCCTTTCGGCGTGTTAAAGATGATGTTGCACTGTCTTCTGGCCTCCAATGTTTCTAAAGAGAGGTCAGCAGTCATTTGAATCATTACTCCCTAGTTTCCTGTTGCTGATTTCAATGTTTTCTCTTTAAGTTTGGTCTTCAGTAGACTATGATGCATCTAGATGGGGTTTTCTTTGTATTAATCCTGCTTATTATTCACTGAACTTCTTGAATCTGTAAATTTATGTCTGTCACCAAATCTGGGAGTTTTTTCGGCCATTACTATTTGAACTTTTTTTTTTTATAGTCTTGCAGAGTTTTAATAGTTGCTTTAATAGCTTTGACTAGAACTTCTTGGGGTTGATCTCCTTTGTCTCTTCTCTTGAGAATGAGGCAACATTTTTTTATTCAGATAGTGAGTAACTTTGGATTGTATCCTAGACATTGTATTTAGTGTATAATTTATGTTGTACTGTAGAAACTCGGGATTCTCTTATATTCCTCTGAAAAGAATTATTATTTTAAAACATGCAGTTAACTTAGTTGAACTCAGCGATAAAACTGTCTCCCCTGCAGTGGGAAGTAGTTCAACTTTTAGTTCAGTTCTTTTAGCCTTAGTCCTGCATGCATAGTTCAGTGGTCAGCTAGAGATTTGGGCAGTTTATATACAGAATTTAGGAATCCCCCCTTTAGCTTGCCTTTCTGTTATTTCCCCCTTTACTCTTGAGAGGCTGTGGTGCTCTGAACTCTACTCTGGTTCCTCAAGCCAGCGAGACTGTAGATTGTACACTGGAGGCTTACCTGTCCTGCAAGGTGCATGGACACCTGGTCTCAGGCTAACGGTGGTAAAAAACAGGAAACTCACACAGTCCGGTGCTCGTCCTCCAGTTACTGACTCCTCTCCAGTATCTGCCTGCTTTTGGTCTATTTCAGTATCTTAAGAAGTTGGTTTTTAAAGAAGGTTTTTTTCCAGAGCTTACAGTTTTTATTTGCTAAAGAGTTGGTCCAATAGGAACTCTTTGGCTCTGCGAAAAACCTGAAGTCACCTGGTTTCCCCCAACATTGTATAATGACATTTTCAAACATATCAAAGAATTTTACAATGGCAGCTTGCAAATTGACCACTGAGATTGGACAATTAAATTTTTCTATACTTGCTTGATCATGTATCTACTTGTCCATTAATATATCTTACATCTTATGCATTTCAGAGTAAACTGCTGACATCCATATACTTGCCCCTAAATACTTCAGCATGTGTATCATTAACTGGAATTCAACAACTGTTTAGTTTTTTCCTTTCTGATGTAGAATTTACATACCACAAATGCACATGTCAGGACTTACATTGAGTGTTTTAAAAATCAGCTTTATTGAACTATAATTTACATCCAATAAAAATTACCAATTTAGTATATAATTCAAGTTTTATTAAATGTTACAAATGCCACAATTACGGTAGAAACATTTCTATAACCTCTAAAAGTTCCCTCATGCAGTCAAGTCCTTCTCCCGACCCTTGCACTTAACTTTCAAGCCACTTAAGTCTACTTTGAGCACAAGTGGGTGCCACTCCCAAGAACAGGAATTGGAGCCCCTTCACTGCCAAATGTGTTCTGGGGGTGGGGGTTGGGGGCAGGGACACAGAAGGAATGGAAAAATGGAACCAGGTCTCAGACTGGGCTCTTCAAAAGCATCTCCAGGTTGTCTCTAGAAAGTAGTTAAGTGGCTCATTAAAGCCATTAAGTCTGCTCCTCTACCTAAAGGCAGATTCGGCCAATCCAAGCACAACTAAAGATGCTCATTTCTTGAGTGTGCTATGGTATTAGAGGAGAACAAGAAGCAGAAGTTTGCTCTCATCTTTAAGAAGACTGAAACCTCAGACAGATTCACATACTTTTGAGCTTCAGTTTCTTCATTTATAAAATGGACTTCGTCCTGTGGGTGAAATGGGACATGCCAGGCACGTAATAGACATCCAAATATTTACTGCATGGATGCATTCTGGTAAATGGTAAGGTTCTTGGCCAAGTAATTATTTTTAATCCCCAGCATGTTGTTTCTGATATCGAAGGAAGGTGGCTGTGTATCCTTTCTTTGCAAACTTAGGAGTTTCTTGTGTCAAACGTAGACATTCTCATAACATGTAAAAACACTTGTCTGACCCTTCCCACCACACAGGTGACCCTCTCTCCGGCCACTTCTCCCCAAGCCATTCGGTGGCCAGTCACCAGCCCATTTTTCACACCCTCACCAGTGGTGCACACTGCCCAGGCCCTTCTCCCTTGGACCTCCCAGGTAGCACATCACAACTCCTTCCTTCCTTTCAGATAAGCCTTAGAATCTATCTGTCCTAGTAACTTTCCCTGCTTCCTCCTACCCATTGAGATCCTCCCCTCCCATATCGGTGAGTTTACATCAGGCATCTGAACCAAAAGGTCAGCGGTTCCCAGCAGGAGATGAGTGGCTCTGCATGAGGGGCTTTACTGACTGCGAGGCCAGCCCAGCCGGCCAACCTAAAGGCCCTCACCTCTACCTTCTCCCTCTTCACCAGCTATCAACTCACTCTTGGGGTTCACATTAACATGCATTCCCTAATTCCCCCAACCCCACCAATCAGATGCTGCCACTTCTTTCTGGGAGGCAGCAGGTATCAGTAACGGTACTTGCAGGACAGGAAGTGCACTGGTTAGCTCTGCAGAGTTGTTCAGGGTGTGCTGCTGGGAGGCTCAGTCTAGGGGTGAAGACTTCCTTGTGAGCGGAGCCCCTTTCTGTGGGATGCAAAAAGGGGCTCTAAGGCCAAAATTTTTAAATCTATCAATCTTCCAGAAACAACTTCCATTTAGTAGTCTGGAAGCAATATATGTGGAAGAATGCTAGTTTCCAAAAGGCATGGGTTTTATTTTCTACACTTAATTGCCCCAGAGGCTGCCAGTTGGTTCCAAGCACTTTTATTTACTGCTAACAAATACAAATCATTACAACCCACATTTCTGAAGTTCTTGCCACTGGTCAAGAGCACCACTTCATTTGATCCTTGTAACAACCCCATGAGGCAGGAAGGACAGGTATTAGTCCTGTCCTTCAAATGAGAACAGGAAGACTCAGAGGCGTTACTGCAGTGCCTCGAGGTCTCACAGCTTGGAGGAAGCAGAGCTGGGACTAGACAATTCTAATGAACCCTGAGTGTCTTGTGGCTAAGTCACCTGAGTATCTGGTGGCTGAGTCACCTCTCAGGCTTTGGTTGGATCTCAGGCCATGACCAGGTGAGTATCTGTCTTCATTCAGGGTGGATGAATGAGGGAACCTGGAAAGGAACACACACATAGATATGTACATTGAAGCAAAAATCAGTCTATTGTGTGCTACACACAGATATTTTCATTAAAAAGTGCTGGTCATGGAGTGAGCACAGTGGCTTACTCCAAGAGTTCCAGACCAGCCTGGGCAATATGGCAAAACCTTGTCACTACTTAAAAAAAAAAAACAAAAAAACCCCAAAATTAGCTGGGTGTGGTGGTGTGTGCCTGTAGTCCCAGCTACTCGGGAGGCTGAGGCAGGAGAATTGCTTGAGCTTGGAAGGTCAAGGCTGCAGTGAGTTATGATTGCACCATTGCACTCCAGCCTGGGGGACAGTGCTGACCCTGTCTCAAGAAAAAAAAAAAAAGTGCTGGTCATGACTCTTTAAATTGATTTCGCCCTCTCCAGCCTGGGCGACAGTGCTGACCCTGACTCAAAAAACAGAAAGTGCTGGTCATGACCCTTAAATTGATTTTAGGATTCACTAAAGGGTGGTGACCTATAGTTTAAAAAATCACTGTTGCAGGACACAAGGGTTCACTAATTTATGCGGCTTTTTCAAGAAACTTTAAAAAATAGTTCTCTACTTGGTTTCCTTTTGCTTTTCAATAAATTCTACAAGTTTGCACAAATTATTTAAGAGGCATAAGGTTTCTGTGGTGCAATATTAATAAGTCAGCTAGGAATGCTTCTCACCCTGGAGGAGACATCGGGCATTTTCCGCCTCCCTTTGGAGAACTTCCTATCTGCTCCCTCCCTCCCCATCAGGGGCAGCCCCAGGATCTGGAGTAATTGGATCAGGAACGGACTTGTGACTCAAGATGGCCAATCCCATGTGTCCAGGGACTTTTGCTGGGGCTGTGGAGCTGGAAGAAAGATGGGATTCTAGCGCCATGGGGGAATCTTGGCCTCCACGTGTGGAGAGCTTGCTTGAGAATGATGCCCATATTCTGGAAAGCAGAGCTGAAAGTTGGAGACAGTCTGTTACATTAGGGATTCCCTGGCTCCAGCACACTGGCCAGACTTTTGTTCATTGTACAAATCTAATTAACCTGGTTTCTCGTAACCATAAAAGAAACCTAATGTATTCTTTCATAAAAATATTCATAAAATATTGAATAGCAAACATTTGAGGCTTTTAAATGTTAGTAATGTCAATTATATGAGAACAAAATCAGCATTCAGTTGTCATGTTAATTTCTAAAGAACCTATGAGCAAATAGCCATCCAGGGCATATTCAGTAGCATCATCTACGTCCTCAAGTCCAGAAAAGGATAGCATTGGCTTAGCTAGGACAGACTTAGCACCTCAGATGGGGCACAGATCTTGTTCATTAACCAGCTGTGTAACCCTGAACCTTATTTTTCCCTCTATATAATAAAATGAAGATAGTATCACCTGCCCCATTGTGTGAAGATATATATACAATTACCTATGATCATAAATTATGATTTAAGTTACCCATAATAAATGCCCCATGGATGCAATTTCCCCTTTGCCTTTCCTTTCTAAGCTTCTCTTTGTGTGTATTGAAAAAGGAGACTGATCCAGATGCCTTCCAGTTCTTAATAAAAGCAGTGGACGCCATGTGGTGGCTTGCACCTGTAATCCCAGCTATTGGGGAGGCTGAGGCGGGAGGACTGCTTGAGGCCACAGTGAGTGATGATCGTGCCATAGCACTCCAGCCTGGGTGATAGAGCAAGATTCCATCTCTTTAAAAAAAAAAAAATGCAAGGGGCTCTTTGAAAACCTTGCTACAAAGGGAACAGGAGACACTGAAACGTGCCTTAGATACATGAACCATAAAGTTGGTCAGACTGCGGAGCTTCTTCTAGGCCTACTGTGAATAAAATATAATTTATACACATCAGTTGAATTCTGCTTTAAAACAGACTTGATTGGAACTCGGTGAAATATGGGACAGGAGTTGCACCAAGACTTGCAGGCTCTGCCCTGTGTCTGCACACCACCTACCACCTGCTACTGTGGGCTGCCTCTTGCCCTCCCCATCTCTGGTATCTCCCATGCTGCCTTCTCTTCTGACACTGGTCTCATTCCTCCAGCGCTGTGCTTTAGACCTAGCGAGTCAACAAAAACGGTGGGTTTCAGAAAATTTAATAGATCATACTTAACAGTGCAAAGCGTTCAGCCCTTGATGCTCTTACCTGAAAGGAGCCCACTCTACTTGCAGGTCTGGCTTTAATCATTCAGTGGCTCAGTCCTGCATATTGATGCGACATTTAGTGGGTGACTTTATGTGCTGCTAGTTGGTTCTGTCACGTCAACCATGATTTGCTGTTACAGTGGATGAAGGCGTACCCAGTCTTGTATATATAGTTACATATCACGTATGCCAGGTGTATTAGTCCATTTTCATACCGCTATGAAAAAATACCCGAGACTGGGTAATTTATAAAGAAAAAGAGGTTTAATGGACTCACAGTTCCACGTGGCTGGGGAGGCCTCACAATCATGGCAGATGGTGGAGAAGCAAAGGCACATCTTAACATGGTGGCAGGCAAGAGAGCACGTGCAGGAAAACTCCCATTTATAAAACCATTAGTTCTCATGAGACTTATTCACTATTACAAGAAGAGCATGGGAAAAACCCGCCCCCATGATTCAGTTACCTCCCACCAGGTCCCTCCCATGACATGTGGGTATTATGGGAGGTACAATTCAAGATGAGATTTGGGTGGGGACACAGCCAAACCATATCACCTGCCCCTTGGCTGGACCTTGGGAACATCTGCTGCCTGGATCCTCAGAGCAGTATAGGATGACTCTGGAGCTAAAATGCCTGGGTTCAAATTCCAGCTCCACCACTTGCCAGCTATGTGACTTTTCAAAAATAACTGTAATTTTTCTGTCTGTAAATGGGGATAATGATGGTACATCCTTGATAAGGTTATGAAAATTAAATAAACACAAAACACATAGAAGAGTTCCTGGCACAAAGTGCTCAGTGCTGGCTGGCCAATGTTAATGCTCAAGGACTAGTGGACACAGACCAGGCTCAGAGTTGATCACCAGCCTCCAGGGAGGCTTTGGTCATGTCATTGCTGACATTCCCAGGAGCATGTGGCCACAGACCACCTTTGATCTCTCATTTTTTGGATGTGTGAATCCTATTATATAAGCAATGGCCACCTAACTTACTAGTTGATAAAAACACAATAAGAAATTGTACAGTTTATGGTACTCTTTTGTCCTGGATTTGCTTGAAATAAGTAGGCTACTGAACTTGGAAAATTTGTCAAAGATTTTGTAAGATGATCTGACCTAGGCATAATATGGAGTTAGTACCATATTCACACTGGAAATCACGTAATTTATATTAGGGATAACTCTATAACTTCCACTAAAGAATCCAGGAAAACCAAGCTCAACTTGTGTGTAGTGCGATACAGGAAGGTGTGCACTTTCGAGACAGCAGAGTCTTGGTTCCATTGCTTACTGGGGGCTTTAAGTTATTTAACTCCCTTGAACCTCAGTTTCCTCATCTGTAAAATAGGTCTAATAAGGCTGGGCATGGTGGCTTATGCTTGTAATCCCAGCACTTTGGGAGGCCTAGCCAGGCAGATGGCTTGAGCTCAGGAGTTCAAGACCAGCCTGGGCAACATGGCAAAAGCCCGTCTCTACTAAAAATAGAAAAATTAGCTGGGCGTGGTGGCAGGTGCCTGTAGTCCCAGCTACTTGGGAGAATCATTTGAACCCGGGGGGTGGAGTTTGCAGTGAGCTGAGATTGTGCCACTGCACTCTAGCCTGGGTGACAGAGCAAGACTCTATCCAAAAAAGAAAAGAAAAGAAAAAAGGAAAGAAGGAAAATAGGGCTAATAATGGTATATTCTTCAGGAGGTTGATGGGAGGATTAAGTGTAAAGCACTCAGGCACAGGCACTGAAACATTGGAAGAACTCAGGAAACATAAGCTGTTACTGTTAGGTGGAAAAATACAGCCTTCCAAATCAGGGGCATGCAGCTTCATGCCAACAGAGCAGAGGTGAGGGTCTCCTCAGTTAGGGAGAAGTAACTGTTAAACCTCAATGGGAGAAGGATAGAAGCACAGTTTCCTCAAAAACATTAGGCATGCTGTGGTCAGTCCTCACCCCTCCCACCCCCTCCTAAAAAAAAGAAAAAAAAGAAGAAAGAAAAGACCTCTGAGTAGAACTGCTTGTTTTCTGTGTTCCCACGTGTTTTTGATTTTTCTTGGGGAGTTACTTGACTTCCCATGTGTGCCATCATCTGTGCCAGAAAGCACAGGGTAGTGACCCTACCCCCAGTGGCCTGGCTCAGCCCTGCCGTTCCCTAGGCCCCTCAGCTTGGCAAGGGGCACAGCACTGGTGTCAGGGGTTGGGCCTGGACACCTACCAAGTGTAAATTCCTTGACCATGACTTTCCCTAATGTGACTTCAATGTTATCTATTCAGCCCATTCTGCAGAACTTCTCTCTCCATGTCCAGGTGGGCCCCCCCAGGGCCTAGAGGAATACTATTCCAAGTGTGAGTACTACTGCCAGACTTGGAGTAGTACTCCTCTAGGCCTGGGAGGGCCCATCTGGAAATGGAGACTCAGCAAGGCCGGCTGGTGCGGAGTTCAGAAAGTCAAAGCAAGCATTCAGAAACTTCCATAGCAATTGACAGTGTTGAGACAATCCAAGCACCTGACTTTATATTCTAAAAATGTTATCCACAATAGATTGGGGGAAAAACAGTCTATCTCCTTACATATGGCCTACCCCACTGCCCAGGAGCTCTGGTCGTACAGTCCAGCAGTTAGCAGAAGAGGCTTTGGGTGCTGTCTGACCTGAGTTCAGGTGCTGCTAAAGCACATTTTCTAGAAGCATGACCTTGGACAAGCATTTTACCTTTTGAATTTCCTTCTGGAAAATATAGACAATCCTAATGACCTACCTGTAACAGTGACAGCAGCAAGCACTTGTACTATTTTCATGCTGTGCGGGTGTGGCTTAACACTTTATAGGTACTAAGTCACCAGACACATCAACCCTCTACAAAGGGTATTATTACCACCTCTTTCATTTTGTAGGTGGGGGACCATGGCACAGAGAAGTTACATAACTTGGTCTAGTCTGCACAGCCAGTAAGTGGCAGAGCTGAGATTCAAACCCTGGCCACCTGACTCCAGCTCTGAGCTCTGACCCACTTTGCCAATCCGCCTCCTTGTGCTGTTATGTGGATCAGATAAGCAATGTACCCATGTGACCCCACACAGTCATTGTCTAGCTGTCAATCTGCCACCATCGTCTTGATTAGCTGGGTCCTGCTCCAGAGCAGGCCAACTGACTGCAGCTGTGATGAGGATGCCCTGCTGACTGCGAGGCTTGCCCGGCACTACCCAGAAGCCTATGCTGCCCCTGCCCCAACCTGGGTGGGACCAGTGCATGGTGAGAATCGCACATTCTTTGCCACAGTCCTTTGGATGCTCGGATTAAACTGCCGTGCCAGCCCCACCATGATGTCGGCTTTCACTACCAGCCCTGGGCTCTCCCTGTTTCCTTTTATGGCTGTTGGGCTCATCTGATGTTGAGTTGGAATGTTTTCGTACATAGAGGGGAGGGTCACAAAAGGTTTAAGGCTTAGTTTTCTTACCTGCAAAATAAACTGGTTAAATTAATTCAGTAGCTTTTCAAGTTTATTTTTAAAAAGCTGAACACAGACAAACACATGCAAAACCCCAGATAATATCCTTTACAGAATCCCAGTATGTAAAACAGATAAAGCAGAGCTTGTCTGTGGGAAGGTGGGAGGCCCTGCAGCCCTGTCTCCCTGCCTCCTCCTTTATCGCCACACCCCCACTGCAGCCTACAAGGTTCCTAAGGTACTTTTGGAAAATCCTAGGCCTCTGATGAACATTTGAAAGACTACTTTAGCAAATCTTTCAAGACTAACATTCAACTCTATCCTTTTAAATTATAAGATAAAGAGGTTGATGACAAACTGGAAATCAGCCTCATGCAGAAAACAAACAAGGTCTAAAGCACTCTAGGGAGAACGCAATGCACACAAAGCACAAAGACACTGAAGCTCTGAGCCCAGCTGGCTGTGTGGCCCTGGGGACACCCTTAACCTTCTAGGCCTTAGCTTCCTCACTGGTGAATTTAAGGCACCAAATTAAGTCACCTTTTAGGATTTTTCCCAAAATACTTGTGTGCTTTTGGATGTTTCTATGAGCTGTTCTCTATGGAAATTTCTGGGGATAGAAGAGACACTCATTTACCCTGGGCAGGTGTTTGGGTTTGGTGGGACTAAGCAGTGAGGCAGCCAGCAGGGTGCCAGGGAGAGAGAAGCCTCGTAAAGCTGAAGCTGAAAGCTATGAAAAGCTGCTGTGAGGACAGTCAATACAATTCTTAGCTGCAGGGGACTGAAACGGCACATCAGTCTCCGAGACAGATCCTACCGGCATCCCCTAGGATCACCTCCAGCGACCCCACAAGACGTACTCAGAAAGCTGAGAGAGGGCATGGGTGAAAAAGGAAATGATCACGTTCTTCCTGGGTAAAGTTCTGGTGGAATGAAGGGTGCCTTTCTGGATGGAGGGTGGAAGCACAAAGTCAGTCTTCAGTTCCCAACAGCTGACAGCACCAAGAGATTCTAAGTCACTGTGAGGATAATTTTATATCTATACAGGCTGAGCATCCCTAATCTGAAAATCTGAAATGCTCCAAGATCCAAAACTTTTTGAGTGCTGACATGATGCTCCAAGTGAAAATTTCCATGCCTGACCTCATGTGATGAATCATGGTCAAAAGGCTGTCAAAACTTTGTTTCATGCATAAAATTACTTAAAATATATAAAACCACCTTTAGGTTATTGTCTATAAGGTGTATATGAAACATAAATGAATTCTGTGTTTGGATTTGGGTCCCATCCCCAAGATATCTCATTAGGCATTTGCAAATATTCCAAAATTCAAAAAAATCCAAAATCTGAAACACTTCTGGTCCCAAGCATTTCAGACAGGGGATACTCAACCAGTACATATTTTTGGCATAGAGAAGTTCACTAGTTTTCTTTCCAAAACATATAAAAGTGGATTAAGAAAATAATACTTTTTTTTATTGAGAATGTTAATGTCCATTAAAAGTATAACCAACATCCATTCATCAGAGTGACCTTTGCAGATTTTGTGGGGTACAAGTAAGACTTTAAGGGAAGTGAACATCCAGTACAAAGAAGAGAGTCCATGTTTGTGGCTCAATGTCTTACACTTAAATTTCACAGTGCCTCAAGATTCTCAGGAGGGCACCCACATGTTCCCATGCGTATCCGGTGCTTTGACATAAGGAATGTTCCATATCCATGGCCGATCTGGGGGAAAAACACATTATGTAATATTTATTTGAATAGGATCATAGAAAATGCACTCACCTGATGGCATAAAA